CTGTGGATTACAAAGACTGTCAGCTAGAAATGAAATCCTAAGCTCCTCACTCCCAATACTAGCTCATTTTTCCTGAACTGGATATCTGCTCTCTTTTTTTTTTTTTTTTTTTTTTTTGAGACGGAGTCTCGCTCTGTCACCCAGGCTGGAGTGCAGTGGCGCGATCTCAGCTCACTGCAAGCTCCACCTCCTGAGTTCACACCATTCTCTTGCCTCAGCCTCCTGAGTAGCTGGGACTACAGGTGCCTGCCACCACGCTCGGCTAATTTTTTGTATTTTTTTAGTAGAGACAGGGTTTCACTATGTTAGCCAGGATGGTCCGATCTCCTGACATCGTGATCCACCCACCTTGGCCTCCCAAAGTACTGGGATTACAGACGTGAGCTACCATGCCCAGCCTATCTGCTCTCTTAAAGAATGTTCCAGCTGCTTTACTTAATTGTAGTCAGCTTGAAATAACATTTGTTTAACTGCACCAAGGACCCAAGAGAGAACTAAAATCTTTGCCTTTCTAATAACTTTCATATCATTCCTCTTATCTGTTCTCCAAACTTGCTTGCATGGCCTTGTTCTTATCTGGTCTGCAAAACCTTAACCAGGCCGGGCGCAATGGCTCTCTCCTGTAATCCCAGCACTTTGGGAGCCTAAGGCGGGTGGACCACCTTAGGTCGGGAGTTCGAGACCAGCCTGACCAATATGGATAAACCCTGTCTCTACTAAAAATACAAAATTAGCTGGGTGTGGTGGTGCTTGCCTGTAATCCTAGCTACTTGGGAAGCTGAGGCAGGAGAATCGCTTGAACTCAGGAGGCAGAGGTTGCAGTGAGCCGAGATTGCGCCATTGCACTCCAGCCTGGGTGACACAGCAAAACTCTGTTTCAATAAAAAGAAAAACCTGGCCGGGCGCGGTGGCTCAAGCCTGTAATCCCAGCACTTTGGGAGGCCGAGACGGGCGGATCATGAGGTCAGGAGATCGAGACCATCCTGGCTAATACGGTGAAACCCCGTCTCTACTAAAAAATACAAAAAACTAGCCGGGCGAAGTGGCAGGTGCCTGTAGTCCCAGCTACTCAGGAGGCTGAGGCAGGAGAATGGCGTGAACCCAAGAGGAGGAGCTTGCAGTGAGCTGAGATCCAGCCACTGCACTCCAGCCTGGGTGACAGAGCAAGACTCCGTCTCAAAAAAAAAAAAAAAAAAAAAAAAAAGAAAAACCTTAACCAAATCGCAGACAAACAGCATTTTCTTGATTTTGTATCCAAAAAAGAAAAAAAAAAAAAGAGAGAGAGAGCACCTTGGTTTTTATTGTGGGAGCGTAGCTGACTCTTAGCTATTAATAGACAAATAAATACCCATATTAAATAAGATGGTTGCCCTACATTAATATCTAGGGACCAGAGGATTTTTTAAAACCTACTCCAAAGGTCTCAAGACAGAAGGGAATAATAATTCTAACATTATAAATATAGGCAGTTCTGTAACACTTCTTAATCACTAGTATCTCCATGGATCACATTATATGGCAGTTAACATGACATGCTTTTAGCAAGTCTCACTCCCTTCTCATGAAGGGATAATTCTGGAGAATTTTATTTGGAGATTAGGTAAATAGTAACTAGTGGAAGATAATTCACATATCTTTTCATATGAGGTCTGCTAAAATGGCTTCTTTTTTGTGGTTTTTATATATTTTGCTTTATGGTGATGTTTAAAATAGGAATAGTCCTGAGGAATAAAGTTCACCTTATTCTTTTTCCCAAGTCAGGAATAGACTAAAATATAAGAGCACAAGCTTTTCTTTCCCAAGTGCCAAAAAGGAATGACAGAATTAACTTATCCCGGTTATACCAGGTGAGATTGCCTAAGAGTCCTAGATAGGCAAGTTGTATTGAACAGACTCCTCTCTGTTCCATGAAAGCCTCAATATTTAGACAACATCAATAGAAGAAAATAAATTTTGAGCTCAAGTTGGAGACGAAACTGAATTACTGACTCATCTTGAAAGGTATATATCCTTTTAGATGTATTTTTACTAATCCAATGGTGAATCCAAGAAAGAGGATAGAATGTTTATTCTTAGTATGTTCTAAATCTAGCTGGTTTCTAAGTTTCTTTGGAGACCAGAAGTGTCACTGATGAGAAAGGTCTTCCCCTTGATAATTATATGCTAGTATATAACTTGTTCCTTAGTGCTTTGTCTTCCTATGGCTCCTAGGTCTGAAAACATGCACCTACCCCAAATAATTCAGTAACTATTCCAGTTGGCCCTTGGCCAGGCACAGTGGCTCATGCTTGTAATCCCAGCACTTTGGGAGGCCGAGGCGGGTGGATCACTTGAGGTCAGGAGTTCAAAACCAGCCTGGCCAACATGGTGAAACCCTATCTCTACTAAAAATACAAAAATTAGCCGGGCATGGTGGCACACACTTGTAATCCCTGCTACTCAGGAGGCTGAGGCAGGAGAATCGCTTGAACACAGGAGGTAGAGGCTGCAGTGAGCCAAGATCACGCCACTGCACTCCAGTCTGAGACTCTATCTCATTTAAAAGAAAAAAAAAAAAGAGAAAGTATCAATTGGCCCTGGTCTTGTTGCACTGTAACCAACACGGAGATATTAAGTATTTCACTTCTGCAAAGGGATGAGGAAGTACTCCCCACTGAATTCATTTTTTTGCTTTCTCTACCGAGTGATTTATATCCAATGTGTCATCTTGGATATTGTGAAGATGGACTTAAAACAGCTTATTTTTCCTTTCCTTGAGGGTAGGTAGCTAAGAGTACACTTTAACATGAACCATCTCCATTCCCAATCACAGTATGAGTCATAATAGCCATAATGTTAGTTACTTGAATCTAAGCATGGTAACTCATGACGTGATATCAGAACCATCATTTTTCCTTTGGTCATATACTGGCCCTGATAATATACTTTTGCTATTTGAGTTGTATGTATCAGTTTATCATGGTATGAAGGAAACACTAACAATAGGATCAGAGCCTTTCTCACACAGAGATAAGTGTTTGTTTTCAGCAAAACCATCTGAAGAAGCTTCTAAACTTCTAATTACATCTCTACTAGAAGGCGGTTAAGGAATATAGACATTAGGCCGGGCGCAGTGACTCACACCTGTAATTCCAACACTTTAGGAGGTTGAGGTAGGGGGTTCCCTTGAGAGCAGGAGTTGCAGACCAGCCTGGACAACACAGTGAGACCCTGTCTATACAAAAAATATATATATATTAGCCAGGCATGATGGTGCACACCTGTAGTCCCAGCTACTCTGAAAGCTGAGGTGGGAGGATTGCTTGAGACTGCGAGGTTGAGACTGGAGTAAGCTGTGATCACACCACTGCACTCTAGCCTGGGGGAGCGAATGAGACCCTGTCTCAAAAAGAAAAAAAAGGAAAAGGACATTAGAGTTAGATCTGTGTTTGAATACTTGGTTCCACTGTTAACCTTCGTTTTCTCCTAAGTATAGGTAGTAATATCTACCACATAGAGTTTTGCAGAGAATTTAGGTAAGGTGATAACTATAAAACACTTACCGTAGAGCCTGGAACTTGCAAGTGTCAAACTATTACTAATGTTTGGTAGTTGGTATATAATAGATGCCCAATGAATATTTGCTGAACGAATGACTAAGGGGATCACATGAAGCCTACTCCACATCAAGTCTTTCACTCCCCAAGGTCTAGGAGTGCAGGTCAGCTCACCATTTAGTTCCTCCCACATCATTGTATCTTATCTCAGAACCTGAGCCTGTGTACTTTCCCTCCTCTCTTCAGCAAGAAAGGGCCTGGCTATTGTCAGACATTTCACTAGGGCTTTTTATTATTCCCTCTTGCTGACTGGTGAATGGAGACTGTAGTTTCTACTCTGACTGAGATAATAGAAACCTCAAGAAACCCAACTCTGTTTTCTCCTTATGCCTGGTCTCCTGGAAATAAAAGGGCACTATACTAACTCTTCAGTAGCCACATGGATCCCAAGCAGAGGTCACGAGAAGTAAATGTAAAATCAAGGATCGGTTCGGGGCTTTGGGATACTACATTTAAAAAAAAAAAAAAAACTGGACTGGCTGGGTGCAGTGGCTCATGCCTGTGATCCCAGCACTTTGAGAGGCTGAGGTGGGCAGATCATGAGGTCAGGAGATTGAGACTATCCTGGCTAACACGGTGAAACCCCATCTCTACTAAAAAATAAAAAAAAATTAGCCAGGCATGGAGGTGGGCTCTGGCACTGCACTCCAGCCTGGGTGATAGAGTGAGACTCTGTCTCCAAAAAAAAAAAAAAAAAAAACTGGGCCAAGAAGACTACATGAATATTCTTTGTTGTAAATTAGTATGTTTCAGGAAGTTTGTTCTTCTGCAGAAGTGAGTTCATATCTATTCTTCTAGTCTACTAATCAACCGGTTGTTAATTTTCTCATGGCTAATTATGATAAACATTAGAAAGAAAGTCAAGGAAGAACTTCCAGAGTATGTTTTGGAAGGAGAGTGGATGAAAGATGGGGTTAGAGAGATTGTTATTTAGAAGGATGATTTGAAGCACTTGTTTATAGTCAGAGATAAGATACTGAGTCAAGACCATAATGCTAGTACATTAAGGTACAGAGACTTGGCCCAGATTTGTTGCCCTGTCTTTATCCCATCACTTTGCCCCTTCTTGCCTCTATCCTCCCAATCCTGATGGAAGGTTGTAAATGGATTTGACAGTCTGCAGTTACATTTGTGAAGTAGCAAGTTGATCACCTTTTGAAAGGAGTCAAGACTAGGAGGATTTAAGAGGAGCAAGTGATGCTTTCTAGAGCATCTGGCTTACTGCCCAGGAAGAGCGGCTGCACCCAGAAGCTGTTGGAGGCAGCAAGCTGACTTGGAGATGAATGACTGCACCACAGGGTACCTGCCTGTCTCCTACCTTTGAATGGTCTGACCTTCCAACCAGCTTGCCTGGGGATATGCTGCCCAGCTGGTGGCCTGACTATTTTTCCTTGTGACCACCAGGGGATCAAGTATTTGCTGGGCTAGAAGAGCAAGCCCGCCAGGCGATGATGAAAACTGATTTTCCTGGAGACCTTGGCAGTCAGCGACAAGCTATCCAACAACTAAGAGATCAGGACTCCAGTAGCAGTGAGTTCTGCACCTTCTGGTAATGACTCAGGGCAATGGGAGAAGAATTATCAGAGTGTGTGTGCTCTGGGGATTGTGCATGGGGGTTGGGAGAAAGACATGAAAAAGGAGATATGTGGCTCCTCAGTGTCCCCAAAGGTGGTCTAAGGTGTGTGGGCATATGTTTATCCAGAAAAAGAGGACAGGTTTGGCATTTTATTTATATATATATCTAATTTTTTTTTTTTTTTGAGATGGAGTCTCGCTCTTGTTGCCCAGGCTGGAGTGCAATGGCGTGATCTCAGCTCACTGCAACCTCTGCCTCCCAGGTTCAAGCGATTCTCCTGCTTCAGCCTCCTGAGTAGCTGGGATTACAGGCACCCGCCACCACTCCCAGCTAACTTTGTATTTTTAGTAGAGACGGGTTTCTCCATGTTGGTCAGGCTGATCTCGAACTCCCGACCTCAGGTGATCCACTTGCCTCGGCCTCCCAAAGTGCTGGGATTACAGGCGTGAGCCACCGCGCCTGGCCAATGTGTATGTTTTTAGCTTATGGACTACAGTACTTGGCACAGTGCCACATGCAGATAGGTGTGTCAGTTGTGATAGGCAATGATATAGGAATAAATAGTGCTCTAGCAGTCCCTGGGTTAGGTCAAATGACAAGAAAAAAATCCCTGTCTCCTAGGATCTATGTATTTGTAATCAATAAAATATAAGGGTGGCATTAATGAAACCTTGCTTGAAGGCCCAGTTTTAATGTGAAACAAGAAGATTTGCTTAGTAATGAGGTTATGCAGTATATAAAATGCTAACATCAAGGTCTTCCCATACCAGTTCCCTCAGAAAATCCCTGTGGTTAAGACAGTAGCTGTTATAAGTTGAGCCTCATGGATTGTCTGTCTGTCCTGTGACCTGTCTGAACAAACACGTCTTGAGATGTGTTTTCCTAGGAAGATTTCAGCACTTTCCCCACTTCATCCATTTGATATAGGTTATTATTAGTATGAATTCAGAATGACTTTTCCAGTTTTTCATCACGTTTGAGGCTGGGTTGGGTGAAAACGGAGAGAGGACTCTGCAACCTTCTAGGAACTTTTTTCCACCCAAGCTAATAATTAATCAACATCAACAACATAAAATAATTTAGCAGTTAATTGCTCGGGCACAGAAAAATGAACCCAAACCTATGGAAGCCACCACTTTCTTGAGTAGCAGGTAGGAATTACAATATCTGCAAAAGTCTAATAGGTTTCCATTCTGAAGGATGTACTATCCCTCTAGACAGTACACATTTTTAAAAACATTTTCTAGTAGCGAGATATATTTGGATTATTGCAAAATTACAAAAATATGTTCAATACATCACTTTATATTATACTAAGTTTACAAGTATTTCAAATAAGCTGGTGAGAAAACATGGTGTGATCTAATCTGTGCCCATCCTTCATTATTGAGTTGGATTCAAATGAAAGGAACTTTGGGTTAGGGAATAAGACACACAAACCACAGCTCTTTCCAGGCCCCAAATCCAGTCCACCAATTGCCTGGAGTATCTAATAAGGACACATGTAACTACTAGCAGATGATTTGGTTAGACCTTCTCATGAAGAAAGGGAGTGTAACTAGTTTTGCCAAGGAAGAAGGGAAATATAAGGGGTGTTGCTCACATACTGGTGGATTTAGATATTATGCAAGGGGTAGTAGGAAGACAGGCAGCACTGTTAGCTAGGAAATCTGAGTCTCATGTGGACAGCCTGGTGAGACTCTGCCCTATATTTCTCTCTTGCTCACATCAGGCCCAGAAGTCCAGGATCCAGGTGGGGTTAAGATAGGGCTGGAGTGTGACAGCTTCCCTAGGCTTGGCTACCTCTTGTGATCTTCAAGGTACTAGCACTTTATTTGTTTCCCTTTCAGAAAGAACTACATTTGTTATTTGTTTTCCGGATCCTTTTTCATTTTCTATTTTATAAGTAATAGAGAAGAAAAATCAGCGCACATGTGGCTGGGGAATTCCCCATAGCCACATCCTACCCCTAAAACTAAAACTTAACTCAATTCCTATGTTAGTCACAATAAATTACATTTCATCCTAAAGAATGGCCCGTTCCTTCCACTTAATGCATGGAGTTACCCATCAGATAATCCAAATCATCAACAGAAACAGCGGATTTACGTAGTTCAGAATGCCGTGTTACAATAGTAGAGTAAGAACCGAGTGAGTCGGATACCACTGCAAAGTGCCTGAGGTTGGTTGCTGTGCTAATTTTTTCACTGTAATGAGCAGCCCTTTCCCTATAAAGTGACATCATTTCAAACTAATTTCCTGCTGCTTCTTTTGCTGGTAAGAGGGAAGAAAAACTCGATGTTTCTGTAAGTCTGCCTTGGGGTTTGCTGGGAAAGAAGAGATTAGTGGGGTTCAGAGTAGAACAGTATAGTGACACCATGGAGAAGTTGTGCAGGGGGCTCATGGCAAAATCAGTGGAAAGTGTTGGTAAGTCAGAGGTGGTGTACAGTGGGAATGAGCTCGGTGTAAGGTGCTTGGGGAGGTGTGATTTGAAGTGTGAGATATTTGAAAACCATGAGTCAGGAAGATTATTTTTATAATCATATTGAGGGCACAGTAACCATTTCCAATGCAGTTTTGCCTCACATCTTCCCTTTACGTGTATATGGCATAACAAATGACAGCTATAGCTGGTTTCCACTTGATATAATATGTACCCAACAACACTATATAAACTATATTATGGAAGATCTGAAAATGTTTTCTGTTATAACTGCCAACTGTAGGGTGGAGAGCAGCTCAGGATGTATTCATGCAAAAATCAGAACAAGTAACCAGTTTGTGTGTTCCAGGTGACAGTGAGGGTGATGAAGAGGAGACCACACAAGACGAAGTCTCTTCCCACACATCAGAGGAAGATGGAGGGGTGGTCAAAGTGGAGAAAGAGTTAGAAAATACACAACAGCCTGTTGGTGGGAACGAAGTGGTAGAGCACGAGGCAAGTGACAGTGGCTCCTGGGTCCAGGTCCAACAATGCCCTACCCTTCTGCCTACCCTTATGCTGCTCACCCCTGTGGCACAGTCTTTGCGTCTGATGGTCTCCTGGGCCTGCACAGGAGGCCTCTTCCTTCATGGCACCAGAACCCACACCTCAGACTCTCAGTTCTCACCACATTCAGCTTTCCTATTCCATCCATGAATCACTGCGCTTGTGCACAGCTCTCTTTCCTGCAGCTCCTCACATCTTTCTAGACAGGAGAGCTACTTTGATGAAGTAGAAAGCTGACTTCCCAAGGTGGACTCTTGAACGTGCTTGCAAATCTAAGTCAAGGTGTCACCTGGAGTGCCACCTTCTCACTAACTTGTTTCCTGAGGATTCCTGAAAGGAACATGACAGGAAAAACACTACCCCTGTCTGCAGAGTTTATCTTCAGGGAAAAAAATAGATTGACTCTCTCAGGCAATCCTGTGTCCTCATGGCTGAAAGCCATAATTCCCTTTCAACTATTACTTTTTCCTTCAGCCCACAATGGGAAACTAAGAATAACATGTGCCATCAGTCTGGGTTCCTTTTAACAGTATATCCTGTTTAAAAAGCTGGGGCAGGGAAGAGATGAGTCCTAATAGTCCTAATGAGTTGCCTATTTGTTGAATCACAGGTCCCAGGGAATTTGAATTCTGACCCCTTGCTTGAACTCTGCCAGTGTCCCCTCTGCCAGCTAGACTGCGGGAGCCGGGAGCAGTTGATTGCTCATGTGTACCAGGTATGCATCGGGGAGCTATGTGCTCTGGAACACAAGTGTGGGCAGCTTGTCTGTAGCCCAGATCCCGGTTTGGCCTTTGTCTCTCTCTGGCTCCTGAAGGAGTCGTGGGTTGTCGCTTCCATTAAGATTCGTCTTAGGGAGGCTGGGCGCAGTGGCTCACGCCTGTAATCCCAGCACTTTGGGAAGCCGAGGCGGGTGGATCACTTGAAATCAGGAGTTCAAGATCAGCCAACATGGCGAAACCCTATCTCTATCAAAAATACAAAAATTAGCCAGATGTGGTGGTATGCACCTGTAGTCCCAGCTACTCGGGAGGCTGAGGCAGGAGAATCGCTTGAACCCAGTAGGTGGAGGTCACAGTGAGCCAAGATCACACCATTACACTCCAGCCTGGGTGACAGAATTAGACTCTGTCTCAAAAAAAAAAAAAAAAATGCGGCCCAAAGCCAGGCGTGGTGGCTCACACCCAGAATCCCAGCGCTTTGAGAGGCTGAGGTGGGAAGGATTGCTTAACCTTAGGAATTCAAGACCAGCCTGGGCAACATAGCAAGACCCCAGCTCTACAAAAAATTTTTTAAAAATTAGCTGGGCATGGTGGCATGCACCTGTAGTACCAGTTACTTAGAAGACTGAGGTGGGAGGATAGCTTGAGCCTAGGAGGTTGAGGCTGCAGTGATCATGCTTCAGCTCGGGTGACAGAGTGAGACTGTATTGAAAAAGAAAAAAAAAAAAAAAGATTCTGCTCCAAGCTTCCAGCATTTTAGAAAATACATGAGATATATTAGATAAACACGTTCTGGGTTTCCGGGCAGACACACTGTGAAAATTAAGTGATTTTTTTTCTAAATTATTTAATGCATATTTTAAATGGTGAAATAGAAACGAATGTATACTAATAATGAGGGCTTTGTGTTAAAGAAAAGAAAATTAGTTAGCATGGGCCAGGCGCAGTGGCTCATGCCTGTAATCCCAGCACTTTGGGAGGCCAAGGTGGGCAGATCACTTGAGGTCAGGAGTTCAAGACCAGCCTGGTCAACATGGTGAAACCCTGTCTCTACTAAAATACAAAAAAATTAGCCAGCTGTGGTGGCACGCGCCTATAATCCCAGCTACTCAGGAAGCTGAGGCAGGAGAATGGCTTGAACCTGGGAGGCGGAGGCTGCAGTGAGCTGAGATTGTGCCACTGCACTCCAACCTGGGTGACATAACGAGATTCCGTCTAAAAAAAAAAATTTTAACACAAATGGTATGTTAAAAATTGGTGTGAACCAGTATTTCTTCAGAAGACTATCTTCAGAAGATTGAGAAAGCAAGATATAAATACCTGTTGCATACCCGTATTCTAGGCCAGCTTCAAGATTTGGCCTTTCTTGTTCCCTTAACACGTATTTGTACCTGCACAGTGTGAGCCAGGGAGACAGAGAGAAATTATTCGAGACAGGAATTCCTCTCAGGCTCTGAAGAGGGCCCTGGTGCCCCACTGTTTCTTTTCTTTTTCTTTCTTTTTTTTTTTTTTTTGGAGACAGAGTTTCACTCTGTTACCCAGGCTGGAGTGCAGTGGTATGATCTTGGCTCACTGCGAACTCCACCTCTCAGGTTCAAGCAATTCTCCTGCCTCAGCCTCCTGAGTAGCTGGGACAACAGGCGCCTGCCCCTACACCCGGCTAATTTTTGTATTTTTAGTAGAGATGGGTTTCACTATATTGGCCAGGCTGGTCTCGAACTCCGGACCTTGTGATCCACCTGCCTCGATCTCCTAAAGTGTTGAGATTACAGGCATGAGCCACCGTGCCTGGCCCCCACTGTTCCTTAAGTCAGCCACATGTCCCAGAATGTAGGCAGAGCTCAAGCTAATGAAATCTAAGCACTGGTTTAAATGGCCAGGGCCTCTAATGTAAGAGACTGACTTTTCTAGGGGCTAAACAGAATACTTGCAAGTTCCTTATTCTGAGACTAAAGAAAGGGGACATTTCCCAAAAGTCATTTCTAAGTGGGTGCAGATTGTCCTGGAGGTAGCACAAGACTGACAGATCAAGGCTCTGTTTTACAGCACACTGCAGCAGTGGTGAGCGCCAAGAGCTACATGTGTCCTGTCTGTGGCCGGGCCCTTAGCTCCCCGGGGTCATTGGGTCGCCACCTCTTAATCCACTCGGAGGACCAGCGTTCTAACTGTGCTGTGTGTGGAGCCCGGTTCACCAGCCATGCCACTTTTAACAGGTCAGCTGGGCACTTATCCCTGTTGTGCTGGGAGCAAATTACTGGGTGTGAGTTCTGCTTTCTGAAGTCAAAGCGAAGGCTAGGCATAGGTAATGCACAGGCAGCTGATGCATGCTCTTTGGAAGTACCAGTAAGAAGGCTAGGAAATGTGCCTATTCCACCACATACCCCAAAGGAAAGTGAATTCCCATTTCTTTTCCCATCAGAATATCTTCAACTAGAAAGCGATGTAGGCAGTTCCAAGAACACTCATGATAAAGCATGGAGAAAGAAGTTATAGGGTGGAGAGGACCCTGGCATGAGGACGCAGTCTCCTCCATGTCCTAGGAAGACTGGAACATTGTGTCCTTGTCCCGTTTGTCTAGTGTACAGTGCAGTGTCTGCCTTTGCATGCAGGCAGTGCACGGGAAGGAGGTGAGTTGGTGGTCTGCACCTTGCCTGAAGGAGGTCTCCACCTCCAGGAGCCTCCATTCCCACAGCAGGACTGCCCCTGCAAAGCTCTTATCAAAACCATTATTCTGACTTGAGTGAAAACGCCTAGGGTTTGTTTGATTTCTGGTGCGTTGCTGTGGCAGGTGGCTCAGTCATTAACTCCAGATGGGCTTTAAGAGTTGGTAGACACCCGGCCGGGTGCGGTGGCTCACGCCTGTAATCCCAGCACTTTGGGAGGCCTAGGCGGGTGGATCACAAGGTCAGGAGTTTGAGACCAGCCTGATCAATGTGATGAAACCCCATCTCTACTAAAAATACAAAAATTAGCCAGGCGTGGTAGCAGCCACCTGTAATCCCAGCTACTCAGGAGGCTGAGGCAGGAGAATGGCTTGAACATAGGAGGTGGAGGTTGCAGTGAGCCGAGGTTGTGCCATTGCACTCTAGCCTGGGTGACGGAGTGAGACTGTGTATCAAAAAAAAAAAATAGAGTTGGTAGACAACTCTTGAGCAAAGAGAAGGGATGGAGCAGTAGAAGAGGTCCACCAAGCATTCAAACTGACCCCTTGTGGTGAACGTGGAGCCACTGGCCTCATAGGAAAAGAATAAGGCAGGGCTGGAGTCCCAACTCTTGCTGGAAGGAAACACTAACCATCCAAAATATTTGCTTTCCAGTGAGAAACTTCCTGAAGTACTCAATATGGAATCCCTACCCACAGTCCACAATGAAGGCCCCTCTAGTGCTGAGGGAAAGGACATTGCCTTTAGTCCTCCAGTATACCCTGCTGGAATTCTGCTTGTGTGCAACAACTGTGCTGCCTACCGTAAACTGCTGGAAGCCCAGACTCCCAGTGTACGCAAGTGGGCCCTACGTCGACAGAATGAGCCTTTGGAAGTACGACTGCAGCGGCTGGAACGAGAGCGCACGGCCAAGAAGAGCCGGCGGGACAATGAGACCCCTGAGGAGCGGGAGGTGAGGCGCATGAGGGACCGTGAAGCCAAGCGCTTGCAGCGCATGCAGGAGACAGATGAGCAGCGGGCACGCCGGCTGCAGCGGGATCGGGAGGCCATGAGGCTGAAGCGGGCCAACGAAACCCCGGAAAAGCGGCAGGCCCGGCTCATCCGAGAGCGAGAGGCCAAGCGGCTCAAGAGGAGACTGGAGAAAATGGACATGATGTTGCGAGCTCAGTTTGGCCAGGACCCTTCTGCCATGGCAGCCTTAGCAGCTGAAATGAACTTCTTCCAGCTGCCTGTAAGTGGGGTGGAGTTGGACAGCCAACTTCTGGGCAAGATGGCCTTTGAAGAGCAGAACAGCAGCTCTCTGCACTGAACCACACCCTCCTGACTGCCCTCCTCCCCACCTACCCACCCACCCACCCACACTCACAGCCACGAGGACCAGTGCTGCTGCCACCCACGAGGCCCTGTCCTTGCTGCCAGAGGCAGGCCTGGGTTTGTTGCAGGTGGACCTGAACGGCCCTTGCGTGTGGGAGCAGGATGACGGGGTCAGGAGGGACCTGGCCCAAGGCAGCTCTGGACAAGGGAGCAGGCAGTACAGAGAACTGGCCTCCCCAGCCCACTGCGACAGGCCGTGCTTCTAGGACTGTGGGGCTCCTGTATGGCCCATGAAGTTGTGAGGTCAAATAAATTAATTTTATCTTTACTGCCCCTTTCTTGCTTTTCTCTCAATGTCATTCTAGCAAATGAAGTGATCTAGGAGAAACCTGGGTGGAAATTTTCAGACAGTGGCTTCTGGTGGCTTGCCCTTTTCTTAGGGAGGGTGCTCCTCAGCTTAGGCTGTCCAAGCAGAGGTCCTCATTTGGGTCTTTACAAGTTGCCAAGGAATTAGCATGACGCCAAAGAAAGAACCGATGTTGACTGTGATGCCTGTGGTCCCAAGGGCTATTTAAACCTAGCTTACCTTTTCCAAACTCAGAAGTCTCTCCTCATAACTGGTGTTTTCTAAAGACTATGCAATACCTTCAACTAGGTGTGCAGCTTTTCCCAGCAATACTGTTTGTTGAACATTTACAATTCTAGACAGTAGTCAGCTGCATCTAGGAATAGGCTCATAGAAATAGCTGCAATATTAAGGTCCACAGCACCAAGAAACTCATGTTTGCATTTTATTTATGTTTTATTTATTCACCAGAGGCAAGGCAGGAAAATAAGCTCACTGAAGAAAATCCAGAAGTAAGGTGGTAAGAGCTCAGGTCAATAGTGGTTAAGGCTAGGGCAAAATGATTACTCTGGCAGGTTGTACGGCTGCCAGACCATGGAGGAGACAAGAGCTGAGGTCATTTCTAAAAAGTTTCTGTGATGGTGCGGAACAGGCACAGAACCTTCCTAGCCTGCACCAAAGGTTGTGTTCAGTTTAGATAATTATAGATCTTGAGGTCCAGAAGGAAGTGCCCTAGTTAAATTGTAGCCAGAAAAATAACTATGCCAGGAATGTGGACTTCTTCCAATATCTTAACAGGGAAACTTGGATTCCTCTCTGACCTCCATAGGTCCAAGGCTGTTTAAGTGTCAACTGACCCCCCACCAAACTAGGATTTTTGTTTTTTGGGTTTTTCTGTTTGTTTTTGTGAGATGGAGTCTCGCTCTGTTGCCCAGGCTGGAGTGTAATGACGTGATCTTAGCTCACTGCAACCCCCGCCTCCCGAGTTCAAGTGATTCTCCTGCCTCAGCCTCCCGAGTAGCTGGGATTACAGGCACGTGCCACCACACCTGGCTACTTTCTGTATTTTTAGTAGAGACAGGGTTTCACCATGTTGGCCAGGCTGGTCTTGAACTTCTGACCACAGGTGATCCACCTGCCTTGGCCTCCCAAAGTGCTGGGATTACAGGCGTGAGCCACTGCGCCCTGCCTGGGGTTTGTTTTTTTGAGAAAGGGTATCACTACGTCACCTAGGCTGAAGTACAGTGGCAAGATCGTACCTCACCGTAACCTCTAACTCCTGGACTCAAGTGATCCTCCTGCCTCAGCCTCCCGAGTAGCTGGAACTACAGGTGTGCGCCACCATGCCCAGCTAACAAACTAGGGTTACTTTCACCAGGCAGGCTAAAATATTTGTTTTGAAAAATACATTTAAAAGAAAATACTTAGTTGACGTGCTTGTAATCAATCCCAGCTACTCGGGAGGCTGAGGACGAGAAGATGAGAATCACTTGAACCCGCAAGGTGGAGGCTGCAGTGAGCTGAGATTGTGCCACTGCACTCCAGCCTGTCAACACAGTGAGACTCTATCTCAAAAAACAAACAAACAAACAAACAAAAAACTACTTAATTGACCCAAATGCCTTTCTCTCAGAGCTCCATACTGGAGTCCTACTTGGGATGCTTTAAAATGACTTGAGTCCTCACTATGTGCCAAAGATGATTCTGAGCGCTTTACGTAGATGATCTCAATCTTCACAAGAAACTCTGAATTCATACCAACTCAGGAGTTGCATCTCTGGGTTCGGAAGTACCCTGCCACTTACTAGCTGTGTAACTTTGGGGAAGTAGTACTTAACCTCTATGTCTTGGCTTCCCCATCCACAAAATGGAAATAGTAGCAACAAATGCTTGTCCGTATAGAGAAAGCACTTAGGATATTTTGTAGCACATAATAAGTGTTCCATAAATGCCACTTACTAGTGGCAAGTTTTCTAAATTTTAGGCAGTAGCTATGATTGGGGCTGACTTATTCCAACAATTTCTGGCAGTATTCCTGAGTAAAGAATTGGGGAGAAGGCGAGCAGTGAAGGTGCCTACAGATTCTTGTGATTCCACTAGAATCTAAGTCTTCAGGTAGACTTCTGGGTCTCTGAAATCCACACCAACAGAGGGGAGAAACCATGCTTGAGGACAAGATCATGCCATCTGCCTTGAGCTCACCGCACAATATAGGCACCATTTGTGCTCCATTACAACTGCTCCCACAAAGGTTTCTATCCCCCACCCCATGGCCACCATCTAAGGCTGGGATAGGAAGAAGGCGCAAACACCAAAAGGAAAAGCTAGTAGTTTATATAGATAGATATATAGATATATAGATATTGATAGATATTGTGTTTACATAGTCCACAAGTTAAATGCAGGTATCCATAAGAAGAGCATTAACAATAAAAATACAATCTGTGTGTAGCCAAGTACAGAGACTTAAAATGGTAAAACAGCAAAAAGGATCTCACAAAAGTACAAATATACAGTACAAATTGATTTATTTAAAACAGTTACAAAAAAGCACAACAAAATAGAGATTATCCTTAGAATTATTAATGCTTTGTTAAAGATCAGGTAGGATTAGAGGGTAAGAAATGGTATTGGGTGGAGGGAGCACCTGACTAGTTCTAAGGCTTTAGATACAATGCAGTTGATTACATATTAATTCAGCCATTACATACTGGGGATAGTAGATGGGGGATCAGTAATTTATCTACAGGGAACTCCTACACAGATCCATCCAGACCTCCCCATTGCCATCCTTCTCCACTCCTTAGGACCCTAAAGCCACCTGGATGACAACATTCCCATCCTCCTTTCTCCACCCCATTCCCTATCCATATATTCTTCCCTCGCCTAAGGTGCTGTGCAAGCTGAGAGCAGTCTGCTCTCTGCAGCTGGATCATATACTGTTTTGGCTACAGGGATCCTGTGTGACTAAGAAGGTTGTAGGGGACAGCCTTATTTTAATACTTTAAGTTAGCCATGAGTACAGTCAGTCCCTCCCCCAACACAATCTAGATTCTCTTGAATGCAAGTATCAATCAAGTGAGGGATCAACCCTGCCTTCAGCAATACCAGCAATGCACTAACCACTCACAGCTCACAACTACGTGCAAACTCCCTGTCCAGGGGGTGGGTGTAAAACCACTGTGTCATCAGCTCACTCTCTCTCTCTCTGAAGAACCTCAGTCCCCATGACAGTCATAAAGACAAATAAATGCTTGCAAGTTTGACAATAGGTAAAGGCACATGGGCTGCTGCCACACACACTGCAGGCAGGAACCCAATTTGAGGCCATCTTCACTGCTGGGCATTTGCAGTGGAATGGCTTTGGGATCACAAAGACTTTGAGTTCGCAATCTACCAGGGGGGATCTAGGTTTAACTGGAGAACTAATAAAGAAACCTTTAGTGTGAAAAGTGCATTTATGACTATTGTTCCTGCTGGGGAGGCAGCAGGGCAAACTCCAACACCTTTCCTCCTTCCGCCCCAGGCACTGTGCATAGTCTGCAGCTAAGGAGAGAGTGCAGTCGACTCTAGCATCTCTGGGGCCAGTGTCATCATAGGCCCAGACCAGGGTTCTGGTCCAAAGATGGATCCTAGAGTTGAAAGAGCAACTGACAGCTGCAAAGACCCAGATGCTTATTTTATTATTGCATAATGTGGGAGACCTTCCCTACCCCAGGGAAGATGGAGGGTGAAGGCTTCCCAGCAAAGGGCAAACAGGTTCCTGATCAACATCCAACCTAATAAGGTTCAGCTCCTCAACTGTAGTGTACACTTTTGCCCATCTGGAAGGTACTGTAGCTTCAGTGTGGTTTAGTAAACTTAGCCTAGGAGGCCAAGATGTCTCCCTAAAACTTAGTCTCTGTCCTATTTACTTTGTTTATAAGACTGTGACCTAACTTCCCATGGCCAATTCAATCAACCAGTAAAGTAAAGTTGTCTTTACTCCAACGGACCCAGGCCTTTTCCCAGTCAATCCATGTCCAACCCTTCATCTCCAGTGTGATCACTCAACTCTTCAATATGCCTGCTTGCTGCAGGTTTAAACCACACCACCATCCTGTGCTTCCCCCTAAATCGCTCATGATGCCCACCAGTAAAAATAAAACTAAACCCCACTTGAGGTGCTATTTCAGCCAAACTTTAAACCCTCTTCAAACTCCAGAATCCACCTAACTGGAGCTGGACGAACTTCACTGGGATGCTGGCATGGGCCCCTAATGTGGTTCCCTTCATTTAGTTTTTAAAACAGGATACAAGATACCACAAAGGAAAGAAGTTAATACAACAGAAGACACCACTAGTAGAAACCTGCTTGTTTCTCCCTCAAGATAGTCAGACATTTGGAGCCAAAAGGCTCCCAACAGCACTGAAGCCATATCCCTTTGGATTCACCAGTCCACCAGCAGCATTTCATACCATCCCTATTCAACATGACTTTGCTATAAAATAATGTGGCCTAACACAGGTAAGAATGAACCGGACGCCTAGACTTAATCTACATGGCCAAAGACATGGAGGATAGGGAGCTGTAGAGGGCAGCAGGCAGGACAGTGAGCGGACAGCAGCAGTGGCAAAGCAGCGCAGAGCAAAGCCCTTGGTGGTATGACCAACTGGGACCAAGAATATAGAAGGATCAGCCCAGATGGGCTGAGGCCCCTCCCCTCAGGTACAAGCACTCAGCTCTGAACTCCTAGATCCCCTTCCCCCCATGCCACCTCTTCCTCATGTGTACTAATCTTGATAGGAATGATTCAAGACTTGGCTTATTATCCATCCATGACTGGGTTCCCCTATTCCCAAATTGGTATACACATTTTTATACAGTGCCAGACAGTCAGCAGTCCTCCTTTCTATTCCTAAGAGCTGGAAACGTCCTACTGCTGACAAGAGACAGGCTCTGGCCCTCGTCAACTGCTCATTCCTAAAAAGTTGACAACTTTCCACTAAAATACTCACTCTCTAAAAACTGCTCTCATGTCTCCTGCAAACTCAGGAAATTCCTATAAGGAAGAATGGACACACCACAGGTTAGTCATATTTTTCATGCCTGGAGGAAAAGACTAAACTAGAGGTTAAAGGCAAGGGGAAGGCCACAGCTCTGACCGAGATTTAGAGCACAGAGCTGCTTTTCCTGGGGACCATAGTTTATGAAAGATACCTTTGCAGCTCAGCAAAATCAAGTATTAATATGTTATATATGCATGGAACGATATTGTGATATTACAGGAGCTGCTGGTATTGCTTCACCAGCAAGAGACAGAACAGGAGCAGCAACAGAAAGGTCAGGGCCCAACCTGCCAGGGTCCTCAAGAATTTCTCTTTCCAGAATTCCGTGGAAGTTACCAGGTTGCAAAGTCACAAGTAGCCCAAGTGGAGCGTGATTTGATTTAAACTAATTGGTCTGTATCTGGTTAGATATAGGTTTGCCCCATAAGCAGAAAGCTCAGCTTGTGTCCTTGCAGACACTGCTTGAGCATCTTCTGTGTACATGTCACTAAATTCAGTTGATGAGCCTTCCTATGAGGAAGGATGCTTGTGAGAAACTTGTGCAAACAATGAACTCTAGGAATGAGTTGCTCATGAAACAGCCAGAGATGAGGCCTTCTCCCAAGGCTCTCATTTGAGGAGATTCCTCAAGACTCAACCCCACAGGCCCCCACTGTAGGAAACAAGCCAGAGAAAGCAGCATTCAGAGAATGGGGGACAGAGAAGGGGAAAGATATGATCCCAAATGCAGTACGAAGTTGGTGTCTGGTTCTGATACAAACCAGATACTGAAGCACTCGTGGTCAGGTCAGCAGCTTCCTTTGATGGACCCCCAAAAGCTGACTGACCAGGCAACTGCTTTCAAGGAATGAAAGAGTGTAGGGCTTGTAGCAAACAAGCCAGTTTCAGTCACTCTGTTCCCCCAGGAGAACAACCTTTAGCACCTGAACACTAAGAATGACTCCATTCTCAGAACTTCCCCTCCCCCCAGGAGGTAGGTAAGATTATTTATCCCCATTTGGCAGGTGGGGAGGAAGTGAAAGAGCCAGAGGTCACGAGACTTGCCGAAAGTCCTTGACAGAGCAGACATCAGACCTCAGAGGTTTGGACTCCTGATGCCAGGCCAGGTCTCGGCCAATCCAAGTACACCTTATAAAGGACATGCCAGGATCACAGCCTGGGAGAAGTCTAACCAGAGAGCTGGGTGGATAATACCCTGAGTTGCCTTCAAGAGTCTAAAGACCCCCAAAAAACAAACAAAAAAACTCACCCACCTGAAAGCTAGTGGGGGAGCCTAATTCCCAATACCCAATGGAACCCCACGGTCTGAGCTGATGCTAAAAGTTGTGAAGAAAATGTGGGATTAAGACATTGGCGGGGGCTGGGGGGGGGGTGCAAATGCAACTAAGATTGAAAATACTTTTTGCAGAGGAATATACCACCACAAAATGACATCTATTCAGGTATTGAAATGTTATCAAGCCTATCCTAGAATCTTAGAGCTGGTGGTGGGAGGGGATGGATTGGAGACACCAGAATGCCGGGAGAAGCAGTGGAACAAGATGTGAGGGGCATATGGGACGTGTGAAAATGCTACGATGGGCACTGCCCAGCCATGCATTTGCCCTGGCCCAGGGCATAGTTCCCTTCTTCTTTCTCCACCAAGCTGTTTGGCAGTGGAAGTGGAGGGGACATGATTTTGAGATTTTAAAAATAGAGATTATAGCTGAAGGGGAAACCAGAGAGACCCCTACCCACCAAAAACTAGAGGTCTTGGTCAGAGTGGACAAAACCAACTTTGCAGACAAGGAAAGGCAGCGCAGCTACAAATGAGGCCCAGGTCACAACACCATGCAGAGGTCAGGGCAGCAGGAGGGTGGGGGCGGCGCAGGCACTTAGGCACAACACAGACAAAGGTGGGGGATCAGTGCCTGGGAAAAAAGGGTCTACTAATTCTTTCTAAAGTCACCATTACCAGCAAGATTCTGTGAGATTTCAAAGTGAGTCTGGCATGCTGAATTGGAGGAGCTTTGTTAGGTGAGCTACCTTTCCAGAGGCCCTGCCTAGAACCCAGTCAGCCTGGCTATCAAGTCTCTCTCCCAAAGTCCGCTGACTTAATCCCTGGCAAGGTAGTACTTCACTCTGAACCCTGAAGGGGCTCTCCCTCTGGGCCCCCGTGCTGCTAGAAGCCTTGTAGGCGGAATGGTGAGGAGAGATGGGGAAGAGCTATGAAGCAGAGGATCAAGCAGAGTCCTGTAGATCAGAGTGCTCCTCCCCTACACACTCAGCCACAGACATCTGGAACAAAATCACCCTTTAAAGTGCGCATCTCTCACAAGAAGGGTTCTGGGTGGGAACCCTCTTATTTCCAACCTTGGGGCCTCCTGCCCTTCCACCACAAAAAAGAAAAAAAACTTCTGACAGTTTAACTGCTACTATAAGCTGTGGATCATCATTTTTGGCTCTCTTTACTCCCTCCCTCTGCCATCTGCTCCCAAAGCCTGGACTTTCTCTTGCAGGAGCTAGGGATGGGGAGGAAAGAACAGGGAGGCCCTGATTTTGGAATGTTTCTTCTCCTGTGTGCACCCCCTTCCTTCCTTGCCCCAGGCCTGCTGCTCCCCATCACAACACCCTCTGGGGTTGTCCTGAAAGGACGCCATGGGGTAATGAGCAACAGATCCTGCCTTGGGAGGCTGACTTCATGCCTCCCCTTTCCCCCAAATCTCACTGCCAAGAAAGCCATTCCCTGCTCGGCGTGTGCAAATCCTCTGCCTGCTCACGGCGGCGAGGCAAGGCTCTGGGGTAAAGCCCCAGTCCTGGTCTGGGAAAGAGGTTCATTTTCCCGCATTGGAACGCCCTTCAATGGACAGCTTTACCTCCTGTGGAATGAAAGAGGGACGGAGCAGCGCAGCCCGTGCCTCCTCCCCTTGCATGCCGTATCTTTGGAAGCTCGGGGTTGGCCAGCAGGCCTGAGCACCAGGCTCAGGCTGGGAAGGCTCTACCACATGGGAGCCCTCTCCTGCCGGCTGGCTCTTCCCCTCACTGTCACATAGCTCTCTGGGTCCCAAGACGGTCCTCTCAGGCCTTGCTCGGGGGGGACCCAGCTGGCCTGGGGGAGCACAGCTGGCCTGAGAAACTGAGTTACTGTTCAAGCTCTGTAAACTGATAGAGATGCAGACATCTCCCACCTGTAGCCGATGGCAGGGCAGAGAGAAGAGTTGTGTCGTCCGCCCAGGGCTGCAAGAGGACCAACCCTGGCCATATACAAAGAAGGGGTGCTCAGGGGGCACCTCGATGCTCACTTTGCTCTGCTGCTCACCAACCACAAAATGTAGCATGACAAATCCAGGCCATTGGCTCTCCTGAATGTCCACGACCGTGCTAGAGTCAATCTTCAGCCCCCCACTCACTTCGGCACTGCGCACAAAATCCTGGGTCTGGAGGTCCTCCACCCGCTTCAGCTCTCCCGTAGCCAGCTGGATGATGGCGCCTTTCATGAAATGGGAAGGCAAGTGGGAGGAGGTAATAGGGGGCGGCGTTGGCTCTTTGTCTGGGAAGGTGGCTCTGGCCTGCACGTCCAGACTTGATGCTACCAGGATCTCCGAGCCCACAGGCAGCAGGCCTGAGTCAGTTCCAGTGGGCACCAGGTTGCCATTGGCTACAACCATTGCTTTGGGTAAAGGTCTATGTTTTACTGGTTCCTGATGGGACTGAGGGTAGAACCCACAGGCTTGATTTTTCTCTGCCAGCTCTGCAGGGTTCCTGGCTGACCCTCGCCCCTCACCCTGATGGTCGGGGGGATGATGGGATAGGTTGAGGGGGCTGGGTTCCTCTTTCCTCTGAGCTGCCACCACACGATAGTCCTGAGAAGCTAAAGCGCCAACCACTCGCTGGACCTCAAGGTCGGTGTCCGGGGTCCCCCGGTGTGCTGGTGCCGCTACCTCCACCTGTGGAGTCTGAGAACCTGAAAACAACTGTCCATCCACCACACATTCTACCACTGGCACCAGTCCCTGGCCTTCACCCTTGCTGTTGGGGGAGTCAAGGGCTTCACTTTCCCGTCTTACTAAATTTCGTTCTCGCGGTCTCTGTCCTCCATTTGCAGCAGCTGCTTCCAGAGCAGACTGGCTCTCCTGAGGGGTAAGAACTGGGCTGGCACCTGCTGGAGGGGTTTCATGCAAAGTATACCCAGCAGGTAGCCTGGACATCTGATAATAAATGGGCATCCGACCTGGAGCAAGGTCCAGCGGCTGAGTACTTGAATGATGTGGCAATTGCCCAGGTGGGGAGGTGGCAGAGGGAGCTTTGTTAAATGAGTGGGCTGGGGAGGGAGCCTGTGGGGGAGGAGTGGCTCCTTCTGCCAGAAGTGAGGCATATGGCACAAAGTGTGGAAGGTGAGAGGTGGCAAGGTTGGCAGAAGGAGACAGGAGGGGACTCGGTAGGAAATTAGGTGGCACAGCATAGGGAAGGCTATAAGGAGACCCAATGAACTGCAGTGAGGTGGATGGAAGCTGAGCATAGTGGATTGGGGGATAGTGGATGCCTGGATGTTGAATTAGTGAAGACGCTACATTAAACGTCGGGGGCAAGGGGCTCATATTCACCACAGACGGGAGGCCAGTTGGTGAGAAGGTGGCAGGTGGCACAGCCACCTTATACAGCATGCCATACTGGTCCACTGTCAGACCGGTGATGGCCTCAGCTCCATCACCCCCCAGGCTGACTCTGGTTCCTGCCTGGCTCTGCCCAGCCACCACAACCCCTCGGGACCATTCAGAAGCATCACTGGAGGGTGTGTGGTTAGCGGAGCAGCTGGTAGTTCTCCCCATATCCTCGCTGGTCACGGGGAGGTCTCGTTTCTTTGGTGGAAGGCATTCCTGACTCCTCTCATGAACAGGTTTCATATTGCTTTGTGGTGTTCCTGGAGCCTGGAAGGAGTCGGCTTGCTCCCTGGGGCATCAGAAGGGGCTTCTCTGTAGCTTCCCTGTACCCCTCTCTGCTTCTGGCTGGGGCGCCCACATCTGCTAGGGAACAAATCAGAGGCAAACAAAAGTAACCTAGGGATGAGCCAAGACAAAGGAAATAGAAAGAACTGTGCCATGGAGGAAGATGTAACAAAGGAGACTGTTAGAAAATAAGGAGGAAAGAGAAAGGGGCAGACAAGGAGGCTACCCCCAACTCATCCAGCCTGGGACATGAGAGAAACACAAGACACAAAGAGCTATAGGGACAAGCATTCACCAATGCACAAATAACCTGTGGGCTCCACAAGCCCAGAGAGACCAACAGCTTCACAGTTAGTCATATGTCTCATAAGCCATGAGCACCTTGTCTTTTTTCTGCCTTCTTCCCAAAGGGAGCTTTGAACACATGGTCTTTCCTGCTTGCTCTTTTGGTGTGTTTTTTTTTTTTTTTTACACATGGAGTTTTGCTTTTGTTGCCCAGGCCAGAGTGCAATGGTGCAATCTCAGTTCACTGCAACCTCCGCCTCCCAGGTTCAAGGAATTCTGCCTCGGCCTCCCGAGTAGCTGGGACTACAGGCATGCACCACCATGCCCAGCTAACTTTATATTTTTAATAGAGATGGAGTTTCACATGTTGGCCAGGCTAGTCTTGAACTCTTGCCCTTGGGTGATCTGCCCGCCTCAGCCCCCCAAAGTGTTGGGATTATGGGTGTGAGCCACAGCGCCCAGCCTCCTGCTGGCTCTTTTTCTTAAGTTTCTCCTTTTGCTACCAAACATGAATGTGCCACCTTCTTTCCTGAACACATGACCTCATCCTTGCTTCCTTTCTGTAGCCTAATTTGGGTTATGATCTCACCTACTACTATCCCAAGCCTGGCTAAAAACTCTCTTCCTCCTTTGCCTCATATCATCCGTACCTCAAGGACCTAGGTGTCAAAATCTTCAGGTCTGCTTGTATCTTTGTTTTTAAACTCTGCTCCCTAACCAGGTTATGAAAATTAACATCTTTGCCCCATGAAATAATACATTTTAACTCAGCCTCTATATAGTGAGAGTGATTAAACTAGTTTGCTGTCAACTTGTTTCTCCTCTTCACCAAAGAACAACAAAATTCTTCTGACCTTATGTACACTTCCGGTTCCCTAGTCTCAAAAGGCTTCTTTTCTTCTCAGTGATCACCTTCAATTTGCCTTCTCTATTCATTCCCTTTCTTTTTTCTTTGCGCTTTCTTTTACCAATAGCTCTTTCTCCACTGTAGGTCTGCTCCAGGCACCACTCCATAAAATTCTGGTTCCATTCCTCTAAACATGCCTGTTTTTTTCCCCATATCTGTATGATTCATAAGAAAGTTCTCTTTCCCCTTTCTCTTATTGTCACCTTTTACAAATGCTTCTGTCCATTGTTATAAAGCAACTTTTTGGTCTGAACACTTCAGTACACATGAACTTTGCTGCCTATTTCTTCCAACCAGGTTCCAGTTCTTTGGATCTGAAAAGAGCTTTCTATATTATATTCTGTTCTGTTTTTCCACTGCGACATCCCAGATATTTTCCTGAAACAAGGAATTCAAAGTGCCGCTATTACCTGAGTTTCCAGTGGTGCTTCTGAGCAGCTGTAGTAAGTGTCCTCCCGGCTGGCTCGGGAGCCTAGAAGATAGAAACAGGAATGGAGTAAGCAGCTGCCTGACCTCTGTAATTCCAAAGCATTACAGTATACACGTCCTTGCCTCATCTTCTTCCCCACAGGTAAATGGTACATCTACCCAGAGTGCCCAGGCAGTTGAACAGAAAGAAAAACATCTCTAGTGTTCCAACTTGTAAGAAGACATCCCTGAAAAAAAATTTTCATGTATCACATTTCATTGGTTTTCCTTAACATCATTTCCCTAACATCTACCTGTGCCTGTTCCCCAAAGGTTAAATTTGCTTCTAATCCAAATTTCAGATAAATGCAAATAAAAATGGAAGCTTTAACACTGTTCCCATATGAACAGTGGTAAGCAGGAAAAATCAACTCCATGGATTTCCCCTTTATTCTGGGCCTGTGAAAACATAAATGTGGTGTTATTTAAATGGAAAAAGCAGCACTAGAGGAAAAAGAACAATTATTTATGTTTCTGGGGCAGAAAAAGAGGTCAAGGGGGAGTCACGCAAGGGGAAGACATATTAAGAGATTTTCAGGGTTAAAAAAAAATGAGCGTGTGTGTGTGTGTGTACGTAAAATTTTCTGAGGGACAGCTTTATACCAAGTGCTGAATCAGGTATGAAATAAACTGAAAATATTGCCTTGGTCCTCAGGTGGCTAACATTGGTGAAACAAAACTACCGCTAAACCATCAATATGTGAATCTACACTTGCCAGAAACGCAAAGCGTGAAAGAATGGAGCCTTAACCTCTGAAAACAGAGAATGTAGTACAGATGAGTGAGTGCTCCGAGAAACTGACTATCCTGTCCAAGTCCTATAGAACACGCCAAGCCTCAACCCAAACCAAATGCAACATCTCAAGATTGGCAAGGTGCAGGTGTACACAAAAGGTGGAAGGATAGGAAAACACAGTGGGAAGACAAATTCCTAATTCCACACACACATATTACACAGTGGCATAAATGATGCCTCTCTTCTCCACCAGCAGTTTGAGTAACTGAAAAGCAGTTTGCTTTCTTCTTCATTCCCAACAGAAACTGGGGTCACATCTTCAATCCCAAAATGATCCTTGCTTTCTGTAACAAAAACTTTAAAGAAAACCTGCCTCCAGGTCACCCAGAGTTTAGCAAACATAGGCTAGTAAAAGGACCGAAAGAGGCAAAAGGTCTGCAGAAAGGACAACAAAGAGCCAAGCCTGTGCGCCAGGTTCCCACCACGCAAAACACACTTAAGAATCCGAAACCTCAGCCTCTCGAGAACCTCACTGAAGATCTCCAAGGGAAAACGCAGCTTGTGACCCCAACCGAGCTAACAGGCTGTTAGGAGAGTTGCCAACGCTGCTAGCAGAGCCCGGAACCAAGCTCCTTATCACGCTTGGGTCGGAATCAAGGGGCTGAACCCAGGTGCAGAGTCAAATTCTCTGCGGGCTAGAGGTGCGCCCGACAGAAAGGGAGAAGGAGAAGCCTGTCAGAGACTAGGGTTATGGCTCCCAGTGGTCCCGCAATCCTTGTGCCAACAAGGGTAGGACTCGAAATCGAGAGTTCTGCGTTTAGAGAGTAGGGGGTCCACCCTTCACCAAGGGGGCAGGGGCGAGGCCCTGCAGGCGACGCTTCCTTGTTTGGGGGCCCTTCCCGCCCCGCAGACTCGGACACCTTGGCTCTCAGGGACACAGCCTCCGGGGCGCCGGGGCCTGAGGCCGTCTTTCAGGCCAGGCTAGAGAGAAGCGCAAGGGGGTCTAGGTGCGGCCTCTCCCCTCCGTCTGTCCGCGGTTCATGGGCCCCGGCCCGGCGGAGCAACGGGCTCCTGAGGGCCACTTCCTCCGAAGCACGGAGCCCAGGCCTGCCTGGCCCCGGCGGCCACCACTTCCAGGAACACTCACCAGCCCATTTCACAGCGCTTCCCGGGATCCACCAGCTCGTCCCGGAGCCGCCGCAACCGCGGCCGCCGCCATCCCCGGCCCCGGAGCCGCCCCACACCCAGCGCCCCCCCAGCCGGGCGCCCAGAGATGGCGTCAAGCGCGTCCCGCCCCCGGCGCGGAGAGATTGCGTCGCGCCGGGGTGGGAGAGCAACGCCCAGGACTCCCCGGGAAGGGAGGGTGCCGCACTCCCATCGCGTTCGGCGTTCCCTCTGTTGGGTGAACAAACTCTTCTCCCTGGGACCGGGTCACGTGAATAGGTCTGGGCCTGGCCCCCTCAGCCTGACCCCATAATGACCCCGCAATCGTTCCACCTCAGTAAATTTTGGGGGTTCCCAAACAGCCCTGGGGCGTGGTCATCGGCGACCCCCCATTTCCTGGACTTCTTGTCCTGACTTGTGCAGCCTTTTCTGAGGAACTTCGGGGAACCCCGAGGTGACCTAGGCTCAGGAGAAAAGGAGATGCCTCTTGGGGACCCAGGTGGAGATAGGAAGTCTTTTTTTTTTTTTTTTTTTTTGAGACAGAGTTTCGCTCTTGTTGCCCAGGCTGGAGTGCAATGGCACAATCTGGGCTCACCCAACCTCCGCCTCCCAGGTTCAAGCAATTCTCCTACCTCAGCCTCCTGAGCAGCTGGGATTACAGGCATGCGCCACCACGCCCGGCTAATTTTTTGTGGGTTTCTCCATGTTGGTCAGGCTGGTCTTGAACTCCCGACCTCAGGTTATCCGCCCGCCTCGGCCTGCCAAAGTGCTGGGATTACAAGCGTGAGCCACCGTGCCAGGGCAATAGGAGCTCTCTAAGTGTTGAAAAGTGGCCCCCGAGGGAGGTAAGAGAGTGCACCCCACTCAGAATCTAGGGGAAGGTGACAAGGAGTGGAACACCTGAAAGTTTAGAGAGAGGCCGGAGTTTAGTACAGTGAGAAGCAGCTTGGTTTAGTGGAAAGAGGGCTTGACTACTCAGTGAAATATTAGGTCACCATTCATTACAAATTAACTAGTCAACTTCATAGTAACATGAACATCTGCTTAACTTAAGTGAAAACAAAAGTGAGCGCCAGTTGAATTTATGTTTGAATAACAACTGTGTTTCTTTTTGTTTTTAAAGTATAGGTTGGTGCAAAAGTAATTGCGGTTTTGGCCACCGAAATGAAGACTTTCAGTTTCTGCAAACTCTGTTCAATAAATAAAATCGAGCCGGGCGCGGTGGCTCACGCCTGTAATCCCAGCACTTTGGGAGGCCGAGGCGGGCGGATCTCGAGGTCGGGACATGGAGACCAGCCTGGCTAACACGGTGAAACCCCGTCTCTACTAAAAATACAGAAAATTAGCCGGGCATGGTGGCGAGCGGGAGTCCCAGCTACTCGGGAGGCTGAGGCAGGAGAATGGCGTGAACTCGGGAGGCGGAGCTTGCAGTGAGCCGAGATGGCACCACTGCACTCCAGCCTGGGCAATAGAGTGAGACTCCATCTCAAAAAAAAAAAAAAGATATATCATTGCAGTTTAGTGTGTGTGTACATATATATATATTTTTTAACCCTGTTGCCCAGGTTAGAGTGCAGTGGTGCCATCTTAGCTCACTGCCTCCTCAAATTCCAGGACTCAAGCAGTCCTCCCACCTCAGCCTCTGGGGTAGGTGCCATGATAGGCATGCACCACTATACCCAGCTAATTTTGTGAAATTTCTTGTAGAGACAAGGTCTTGCTATGTTGCCCAGGCTGGTCTTAGACTCCTGTGCTCAAGTGATCTTCCCTCCTCGGCCTCCCAAAGTGCTGAAATTTCAGGCATGAGCCTACCACACCCAGCCTGGGTTGTATGTATTTGTGTGTATCTGTACAGAAAAGGAGTAGAATACATAACTAATTAACATTGGATATTTTTGGGAAGGAAAGTGGAATTGGGTGGTGGTCAAAAGGCAAAGAACTTATATTATTGTTTGAATATTTAGGAGAATATTATCTTAGAAATAAAAAAAGTAAGTTAAGATGCAGATACAATGCATGATCTCTAAGATTTTTTTTTTTTTTTTTTTTTTTTTTTTTTAAGACATCCGCCCCCCGGATCAGGCCCTCAGCCCCACCCCCCCCCGCCATTCCCTCCTCCTAGTACGGAAAGCTGGCATTGTTTATAGGACTCCTACAGATTCCGTCTTCCTCCCCCCCGGCCCCGCACACCCCGCCCCCCTCTAGACCTACCAATTATGTTTTCTCACCTGGATGAGCACATAAGGCCATAAAAAATTATCAAGCACCACACACACACACACACACACACACACACACACACACCACAAATGGAAAAAAACATAGTGAAGTTACTGCTGTCATCTAAATCATCAGAGTGTTTTGCTTCATTAATATTAATATTGTTCATGACAGTCTCTTCTCTCAGTTTGGCCAAGAAGGAAGTCCTGTGGTCACTCAGTGTGTCCGTTTTAGCACTAACTGGCATTCTGGTTTCTAGTTCATTTCTTAGCTCACTAAACTGGCATTAAAATCGTCAAGATAGGAACCCTTGGACTATCCAAGCATATTCAAGGATAGCTAGTTTCTGCCAGATCAAGATACACACTCGGAGCTGGGTTTTCTTTTTTTTTTTTTTTCTTTTTTTTTTTTGAGACGGAGTCTCGCTCTGTCGCCCAGGCTGGAGTGCAGTGGCCAGATCTCAGCTCACTGCAAGCTCCGCCTCCCGGGTTTATGCCATTCTCCTGTCTCAGCCTCCCGAGTAGCTGGGACTACAGACGCCCGCCACCTTGCCCGGCTAGTTTTTTGTATTTTTTAGTAGAGACGGGGTTTCACCGTGTTAGCCAGGATGGTCTCGATCTCCTGACCTCGTGATCCGCCCGTCTCGGCCTCCCAAAGTGCTGGGATTACAGGCTTGAGCCACCGCGCCCGGTGGAGCTGGGTTTTCTGTACAAATTTGAAAGAGTAGATACAGGTAGATGTAAGCAAAAAAAAGTTTTATGGCTACCAACCATTAACATAATGACGTATGTGATACAAAAGCATGTCCATTAAAATATAAAAAACAGGATGTTCTGATTGGTGAAACACAGGTGATTTCCGGGTTTGGCACTGCAGTCCCAAAAGGGTGGGTCATATCTCCGCTGTATCCCATTCCAGAACTCTTTACTACTCTGAGTAATCCTTTTTTCTTTGGTTGTATATCTTGATGGTAGAAAGCTCCATAGCAACAGTTTGACAGGTATATTAGTGATAAGTAAACTAATAAAGTTTTTAGATTTATGGCACAAAAATAACCAAAAGTTACCTAATTTATCCAAATATCTGTATTATTTTCTGGAATCTGGATAATGCCCCTATTTAAGCTATTTATAGTCAGTAAACCAGGCCAGGTATGATGGCTCACTCCTGTAATCCCAGCACTTTGGGAGGCCAAAGCAGGTGAATCACCTGAGGTCAGGAGTTCGAGACTAGCCTGGCCAACTTGGTGAAACCCCATCTCTACTAAAAATACAAAAATTAGCTGGGCATGGTAGCCCGTGCCTATAATCCCAGCTTCTTGAGAGGCTGAGGCAGGATAATCACTTGAACCGGGGGGCAAAGGTTGCGGTGAGCCAATATCGCGCCACTGCAGTCCAGCCTAGGCAACAGAGTGAGACTCTGTCTCAAAACAAAAACAAAAACAAAAAACTGATAAAAGTAAAGGGTTTTTTGTTTTTGATGTGTTTTAGGTATTTGAGGTATTTGGAAAATGAAAAGTTAAACTTCAGTCTGTTTTGTCCACTTCTTCCCTTTCCCTGGATTCCTATTGAATTCCATTGTTGTATATAGATTGAATTTTTGTGATGGGAGAGCTTGAGCTGCTCTGTTGGAAGGAAAACAAAAATAAAACCCTGTTATGTGGGTTATTTTTCTCCCTGAGCAGTCAGGAGTTGCAAACCAGCTCTCTGTGTTATCTAGTTCTCACTGGTGATATTTCTTGTCCTGTAATACAGGGCGGGGAAACTCAGGAAACTACCCCAACTCTTTTTGACAATGCAGATCAAACCAGAGAGAAGCACTGGTAACCATGCGTGTCATAACAAGAGGAGTAGGTGGCGTCTTTCATACTGTCATGTCTTCCTGTTTGTATACTTGAGTATGTCAAGGTGTCATTTTAGGAAAGGAACTTTTATCTTTGGGTGCTAATTGTAGAGACAACAACAAACCAGCCAGGCGCGGTGGCTCACGCCTGTAATCCCAGCACTTTGTGAGGCCAGGGTAGGAGGATCACTTGAGGTCAGGAGTTCAAGACCAGCCTGGCCAACAGGGTGAAACCCTCTCTCTACTAAAAATACAAAAATTAGCCAGGCGTTGTGGCAGGTGCCTGAATCCCAGCTACTTGGGAGACTGAGGCAGGAGAATGGCTCGAACCCAGGAGGCACAGGTTGCAGTGAGCTGAGATTGTACCACTGCACTCCAGCCTGAGTGACAGAGTGAGACCCTGTTTCCAAAAAAAAAAGAACAGCAAATCCCAAGTATACATTGAAATTATACTGATACTCTACAAACATATCGGTGCCTAGTATTAGATTACTTTTTTTTTTTTTTGAGATGGAGTCTTACTCTGTCTCCCAGACTGGAGTGCAGTGGCACAATCTTGGCTCACTGCAACCTCCACCTTCCAGGTTCAGTTGACTCTCCTGCCTCAGCCTCCCGAGTAGCTGGAATTACAGGTGCCTGACACCACTCCCAGCTAAATTTTGTATTTTTTTTTTTTTTTTTTTTGAGACAGAGTCTCGCTCTGTCGCCCAGGCTGGAGTGCAGTGGCCGCATCTCAGCTCACTGCAAGCTCCGCCTCCCGGGTCTACGCCATTCTCCTGCCTCAGCCTCCCGAGTAGCTGGGACTACAGGCGCCCGCCACCTCACCCGGCTAGTTTTTTGTATTTTTTTAGTAGAGACGGGGTTTCACCGTATTAGCCAGGCTGGTCTCGATCTCTTGACCTTGTGATCCGCCCGTCTCGGCCTCCCAAAGTGCTGGGATTACAGGCTTGAGCCACCGCGCCCGGCCTAAATTTTGTATTTTTAATAGAGACAGGGTTGTTGCCATGTTAGTCAGGCTGGTCTAGAACTCCTGACCTCAGGTG